GGGAAAGAATAAATAATGAAAAAAAAAAGTAAATTTTTCATGGCAAGCCTAATTGTGCAAATGGGCATACAAATGGAATAAGAAATCACGTTATTATATCTGAAAGAAAAGAGCCCTGAACAACAAAAGAAAAAAAAAATATAGAAAAATTTTGGAGGCTCAACAGATGGGAAAAATAAAAACTGGGTCATACCCAGATCAACACAAAACGAAAGTGTATTGAAGAGATTAATTAAACAAAAATTGTGTTTTTTGGTTTTGTTTCTTGAAACAAACCAGACCTTTGGAACCTTTGGAGACATTATAGCTTCTAGTTAGTATTCTGCTTGGAGGAATCTGCCAGAGTTGAAAGAGACTGGAAGCTCTGCTCATCTTCGTCTCTCTCTCTCTGCTGAGACTTTTGAACAAAATGAAAAATTAATTTATCTCTTTTGGGCTTTAGTTTGTTCACTTCAAAAGGGTTTATGACTTTATGTTTGGACTGAAAGTTTGAGTTTTAAGTGGATAACACTCGTAACAACAGTGTCGAAATTGGATGCACCGATGTGGGAGGACGGGAACGACAATTCGTTTTCTCATCCAAGAAAGGGACGTGTCGTTTTGACTTTGGTTTGTTATTCTACGTATTTTTTAGTGTAATATAATTTTAATCAGATTTAATAAGATTACTGTTTATTCTACATATTCTTTTAATCTAATATAATTTTAGTTACGAGAGAAGGTCTTTTTCATTTTGAGGTTGTATTCGACTCTTTCCTTATCTTTATTACGTAACCCAACAGCTTACGTGAAGTATCACCTATTATTTAACCTTCTTTTCCCCCCTATTTCACTCTCGACTGTGAAAACCAAAATGTCATTTGTTAGATTCTAACAAACAAGTAGTTGATTAACAGCCGCACGGGCAAGGGCCACAACCCCATGAATCAGGGGAGATCAGCATATTCCGAAGAACCATTCAATTTTTTAAGAGAGAGAGAGAGAGAGAGAGATTCTAGCTTATCTCTCTCACTTCTGCTCTCTTTCTGTCCAACTATATCAGTTGCGCACTAAAAGTATAAGTCTGTCTCACAATCACATAACTTGTACTATATACTATGGTAGCTCTTGCTTCCTTTACTCTGCTTCCTCGTCCTCATCTCTCCTGTGACCATATTCCCAATACCTATTCGAAGAAAACACTAATTTACAGACCAATTAACCTTAAAAATTTGGCTTCTAGTTCTACCACTCTTCCTCGGATGTCTGTTTCATCAAATTTGCAACAAGTTGATGGGTATTTCTCTTTCTCTTGATTTTCTCATTCTTTCAGTGTAATCTGCATAATGGCAAGTTTTTTACTCTTGTTTGGTCTCCAATTTTTCTCTTATTTATGTTGGTATTCCTCTTTTTTTTTGTTCATTATTTGGTGGCAGCAAATATTCTCTTCCTTCTCTTAAAGCCATTCTGTTTGATATTGACGGGACATTGTGTGATTCAGATCCTATCCATTATTACGCTTTTCGTGAAATGCTTCAAGAGGTGTCTCTCTCCCTTTCTCTTTTTAATTTGTGTTAATATGTAATGTTTAGTTTTGTTACTCTTACGCATTATCACTGATTTTTAACCGTTAAATGTATTCAAATGTCAACTATGAGACGTAAATGTAGTTATAAGACCATTTCTTAATGGTCGAAAAATTCTTCGTGATAGTTCCATTTTTTCTCATGTACAGGTAGGTTTCAATGGTGGTATTACTATAACTGAGGAATTCTTTGTTAATAATATTAGTGGCATGCATAATGAGGAGTTATGCAGAGTTCTCTTGCCTGATTGGGATCTCCAAAGAGCAAGGAAATTTATGGAAGATAAGGAAGACTTGTTCCGAAGGTAAACTATTAAGAAACTGTCTACTTGAGTAGTTTTCTTTTCTTTTCTTTTCTTTTTTTAATTAAAATGATTATTAAGAGAAATGTTATAGTCATTAATTCCTTCAATAGAATCTACCTTGGCCGAGAGAGTAATTCTACATCTTCACATATTCAAATAACAATTCGGATTACATTTTTAATCACCACAATTCTACAATTTTAACAAAAAAGGTTCAAATCTCCACAGTTTTGAGTTGTTGAACCAAATAATCATTTAACTCCGACTAAAGCCACCAAGCAAAAAAGAGCCATTGGAAAGGAGTGAAAAGGAAAAGAAACATTGTTTCCTTTTAAAATATAGAAAAATTTTGGAGGTTCAGCTTTGAAACTGAACAGTGCCCTTTGGTAAAGCATCCGTTTAAAACTTAAAAAGTAAATCATCTACCATCTAATTTCTGCCTTAAGTACCAAGAGATACAAATATTGACAATATTTTTGTCATTTTGAAGGGATGTTTCGTATTTCTTAATCTTATTTCCTCTTGGTTTAATTTTGGAACTCCTTTTGTCTCTCAGTTTCAATTGAATTGTTCGGTATTTGTACCTTTACAAGTTTTGAAGTTGTGCGGGACACTCAAATGCGGAAAAGAGTTCCAATCCATCAGTTTCATTATAGTTGAAATGAATTAAACCTGTCCTAAACTAAACTTTTTGAGTGACACTATAGATTGGCAGCCGAACAGTTAAAGCCAGTTCAGGGCTTAGAGAACTTGTGCAAATGGATCGAAGAACGCGGCTTAAAACGCGCAGCGGTGACGAACGCTCCAAGGCCAAATGCCGAGCTCATAATTTCAATACTAGACCTTACAAATTTCTTCGAAATTCTCGTCATTGGAAACGAATGCGATCGAGCAAAACCATTTCCTGACCCATATCTAAAGGCCCTCCAAGCACTTGAAGTGTCACAAGAGCACGTTTTCGTATTGGAGGTTTAGCTTTGAAACTCTGCTCTTGCTTTAAACCAGCTTTTGCTTACCAAAACTTTGATAAATACTTCTTTATTTATTTATTTTTTTGGTTGTTAGGATTCTGTTTCAGGAGTGAAAGCTGGAGTAGCAGCCGGGATGCCAGTGGTGGGTTTAGGCACCAGAAACCCTGAAAACTTACTCCTAGATGCTGGAGCCTCCTTTGTTATCAAAGATTTTGATGACCCAAAACTGTGGACTGCGTTGGATAACATTTGAGAGAAGCAAGAGTTTCGGAAACTTGAAACAACAGTAAAAATTGGTTTAGCATAGGAATTGGAAAATTGGGAGACAGTTCAGTTATATGTTGTTGTTATTTTTTTTATTAAAAAAAAAAAAAAATGACCTTCTCTTGTAAACCATAATTCAGGTTTCTTAATCGTTAAATATGTATGAAATCACGTAAAAGTAAAAAAAATAAACAAATCTAACGGTTAAAAAAATCCGACCTACCAGTACACTAGACGTACCAGAAAATCTCTTTAAAAAAATAAAAATTAAAAATTTGAGTAAGAGGATTTAAACTCATCACTCTATAATTAGAATAAGTGTGAAATTATCGCTAGGCTATACTTGTAACTTTTTTAATTATGTGTTTTTTGTATTAAAGAATTGATAATAATAATAAATAGGGAGACATACTGTGATATATCTAATAGGCTATATAACACACTAAAAAAGTTACATACTGTAAATGACATGCTAACGAATACCCATTAAATACAATAAGAATCCAGCAATCCCATCCCAAAAGCACGAGACATTGCTAGACAATAAAATAATAATAATAAATAAAAAAAAAGGCTCAACCCCAAATAAGTCAATCAGCTAAGGAGAACCTGGAACATCTGTAGTGGCAAGTAATGTATAATACAAGAGCCATCTCCAAAACACTAATCAATCTTAGCGTGCCCATGATACAGAGTCAACCTCATCTCTGGCTGCCTTGTATAACTCCAGCCTTTTTGCACATTGTTGTCTCCTCTCCATCAAAGCCGGGTCTTCATCCAACAATTGTAAAAGCTGCTTAGCCTGAATTGAAACACATGTCAAAACCTCAAATTAGCATTTTGAGAGAAATAGTAACAGTTTGTAGGATTGTTTCAACCACTCAAACTGTTGTTTAGAATTCAAACCTTAGTTCAAGATTCAAATTGGTGTTTGACAGAGGAAAATTCAAGGACAATTCAAATTGTTGATTTTAGAATTCACCTCCCCTTCTAAATTTTAACAATCTCAATTGTTATCAACAATCTAATAGTTTCAGATTCTACTTTTTCTCTCTCTTCAATTTCAATTTTAAAAATGTCATAACTTCTTCGTTTTAATTCTGATTGAAATTATTTTTCTTTTAATGCGTTCATAATGAAGAGGAACAAATCTCCACCCATATTGCATATTTTTTAATGTCATTTATAATAAGGTTTTATAAGATTTGTTACAAATCTCTAATGACAGTTTTCAACACTTTATCCAAACACAATTCAGATTTTTTCCCAATTTAAATTACAATTTATTTGCATATTCAAACAACAATTCGGATCACATTTTTAATCACCACAGTTCTAACAAAAAAGGTTCAAATCTCCACAGTTTTGAGTTGTTGAACCAAATAATCATTTAACTCCAACTAAAGCCACCAAGCAAAAAAGAGCCATTGGAAAGGAGTGACAAGGAAAAGAAACATTGTTTCCTTTTAATAATGATTCTTATTGCTTAAGTACTAGAAATCCTAGCGCGTATAATTATTTAGTTCAAATTTAGTAAGACTACCAAAGTAATTTTTTGGAATAATTTTGTGGTTTATTCCAATGGAAAGGGAAACAATACTATGAAGTCTGGGGCAAACCTAGCATTGGTTTTCCCTTATTCCCCATTGTGTGGACCCTAGAAAGTTAGCGTTCATTGTTTTGTAAATAAACACATGAAAGGGAAAGAACACTATGGGGTATGGACCAGTGGAGCAAACTTTTCCCTTCTGTCCTTAATGCGCAGAAGATTTTCGCCAAAAAAAATTGTCTGGTGACTTGGGTCAGCCCGAGTGTCAAATAACCTTGGGCAGGAAAAAAAAAAAAAAATCCACAGTGCATCCAAGAATATGTGCACATGTATAAGAGCGAGAGAGTACCTCCTTCTTCCCTAATTGTGTGTAGAAGTGGTTTAGCAATGATTGTTTAGCTTCCCTGACTTGACAATATACCACAGCTTTAGGAATTGTGTTTTTCAGCGTCTCAGACACCATTCCCACATACGAGGACACGTTTGATCCTATCCTCCTGAAGTGGCCCTCCGAGTATCGGTCGGGGTTTGTGGCAGCGGCAGCTGGGTTTCCTCCTTTCTCAACTTCTTGTGGAAGTCTCCTGAAGAATTCCACAGTCAAATATGAAGATTCCATGTCAACCAATCTAACTACTGTCTTCCGACCGTCTTCACGAAATCTTTCCAAGGCCTCATTAGAAGCAGCAGCTATTTCAGCTTGAAGAGTTGGAAAACGCTTCAATTCCTGTTGGAGACATACAATAATGTAAATGGACTCCCAAGTAAAGCAGCAAATATTTTCTGTTTTGCTTCGATCACAAATAGAACCCTGCTGGACCTGATAACTGCAAGTCTGCAAATGACTTTTCCTCAATTACCTTAGTTTCTCCTATTGACTTCCTCACAAGCTCTTTCAACACAAAGTGAACCTATATTAGGAATTCTAGGTCAGTCAAGAGTTGAAATGATTTCCAAAATAACCTTTAGTCAGAACGATAAAAGTTGAGCAAACATTCCGAATGAATTTAGCAACCAGTATAAAAACAAGGACTACATACAGCATCCACAGAAGCCTCAGCTGGGCCCCTAAAATAGTTAAGGGCTCCCTCAATTAGGCGCCTGTAACCTTGCTCCGGGGCAATCAAATGTGGCTGATAACCATCCGCCTCAGAAACCACTTTTCTTACATTCTGCAGAGAAAGATGCCGATCAAATGGAAGCTTTCTCAACGCAGCAGGAAGCTGGTTGTCAAAGACCCCATAAATTCGATCACCACCAGGCCGTCTAAGAAAATAAAAGCCCAAAACAGAAATTTATTAGATATCAGGAGGTTCATCTGAGTAACAAGAAAGAAGACAACAATACTGCAATGTGCAAAATGAATAAATGCACCCAGCTAATGGCCCAGTGCAACAGTGTCAACCTAACACAGAACACTTGGAGAAACACAAGTGAAGCTGTACATGGATTATTAGGCAATTTCCAATTACAGGGTAATATAGCGGATCTTGAAAAATTTGGCTTCCAAAAAGTAAAATTCTCAGAGACAATTTGAGACCAAGGTTGAAAACTTTGATAAATGTTTACCCTCCATCCAAGTGCTCCTTGAAAATCCGATCAAATGCACGGCAAAGTTCCAATATAGTGTACAATTGAGCCTAAAACATAACATTCCAGTTAAGCACAGCTACACAGCAGAAATATCAGGTTATTTTGTGAACAATTATTAAAAAATCAAATCACTCACCCCAGCATCAACAGCAATAGGCCTACCAAGATGGTCCATCTCGGATTCAAGTTCATCAATGCTTTTGTTAATCAAAGATGTAATGCTTGGTATCCTAGCTCTAATTACAGACTCCAGGTGCTACAAACAACATTACACCGTCAACATATAGCAGAGAACAAAAGTCATCTTGAATGGGAAAAGAAGTTCAGTAATAGTAAACCTTCGAGAGAAGTTTTGCAAGGTATTCTGAACCCATTTTACTAGCCAAGTGCCCATAGTCGGGACTGGTTGCAAAGTACTCTCTCTCCTTGCGCCTTGCGACAATCATGTCAACATTTTTATTGATATCAGCTTGTGAACGATTCACAATTCCAACCCAAGGATGTTGCAACCTATAAGATTTTCCTTCAAGAACCTAGTAGGTAAAGGGAACATCAGACAAAAAATAATATCACTAAGATTTCCACCTCTACATGTATGTGTTTTTTCTTTATTATTTTTAAATATACGTGGACATAGAATTTAAATAGTAAAAAGAAATCCATGAGTAGAGTTCTGGAGTTATTACTACTATAACTAAGTAGAGGACTCATTTTGAGATTGACAATTGCTCTAGTTAAATGTAAGTTGTAAAAAAGTTATAGAACATGAAATATACTACAAATATATATATATATATATAAATAAAAAACTACACCAGGATGTTCGTTTAGAAGCCATTTAAAGCACGACACATTTTTACAAGCATGGATGCACCCTAGATAGAAACTGGAAAAAAGAAAGCTCTTACATCCAATGCATTTGTTCCTTTGTCCATCAAATCAAGCTTTGTCAGCACTCCAAAGGTCCGATCACCTGTGGTAGGTATAATCAGGATTTTGTAAGACTAAACAAAAGTGACAAGACATGACTGCAAAAAGCAATTGGCTAAAATGATAATAGAGCATACCGCTAGGATCCACTTCCCTGGCAAGTTTGATTGCATCAGACGTCGCAATATCTTGATTGGCCGGAGAAATTGCTAAAATGATAGAATTAGGCTACAAAAGCAAACACTCATCTATTAGAACACAACTTGTATGTGTCAGAAGAAATGTAAACTAAGATGAACTATCTATGAAGGCTGTAGAAAGCCAGAAAAACACATAAGTCAAACTCTGTCACGTCCATTTCAACATGATAACTTGAGGAAGTAACTATTAGGCTGATTCATGAGTGGGAAAAAAAAATTATATAAACATCACTATAAAGTCAGATGTATGTGTAGGACCAACTTTGGCTAATTTCCTTGTAGCTCTAAGGTCATACATGTCATATTTGACAGAGGTGCAATTCAACACAAAACAACAATAACAAGACACATTAACTAATCATCCAAGACCCTCCTTGCCACACAAGCTCTAGGTGCATTATTGTTCTCTAGCTTGAACATTGAATTCTTTCAAAAACTAGAAAGCTAAGTGCCTCAATGAAACGTTACAGTTCAAATGAAGGCTATGCTCTTGCGAATATAACACCTCAAATATGACTATCCAATATCCACTAAGAACACTAAATCAGAATGATTGGATGGAGAGAAAAACAAAGAGATAAAAGGCATGCAAATCAATGCTTTGCCAAACTTCACTTGTAAAAGAGAGTGACAACAATCAACTAATTACTTTTTCAAACCTATTCCCAATGCATAATCATAAATAAACTCGAGTATAAAATACCATAAAGTTCTCACAAGGAATCAGTGACCAAATCTTCCATAAATTTGTGTGTGTATGGACGAGTATGAGACATTTCTTAAAGTATGTCTTTGAATATGCCTACAACATTCATCAACCAAAATGGCAGGTCCAAAACTTTAATGCACAAAAATAGCACCACTTGTCGATATAAATGCCCGTTACCTTCTCGACATAAGACCGAACCATGGCTTCAATATCTTGAACGATACTCTCAGGCTGCCCCTCTGAATAAAATATTATCTTCATGAGTGACTGAGTTTGTAAAAATATGCAGAGTAGAAACATCAAAATTTGACTGAATAAAAACAACATACCAACAGCAACTTTTGTTAAACCAGGTAAATCAATTAGAGTTAAGTTGACAACTGCCAATGAAAAAGACCAAAATTAGTTTTAACATAAACAGGTAAACACTGCAAAGCCAAAATTGAAAGAGATGTGAATTTGAAAAGCATAGACGTGATCTTCTAATTAGTTAAGAAATAAAAGGGAGGAAGAATAAAGACAAACCGTTAGGGGAATAGATACTGAGATGGATGGGAACAGGAGAGATTTGCTTTGTCCTCCCAGTCACTCTATCAGTTTCATCTTGAATTTCCTTACGAACCATGGCTACAGGAAACAGTCAAGGGGGATAAAAAAGTCAATTTACATGATATCTAAAGCATATATACTAATTACTATATGAAGGGGAAAAAAGGCAAAAGGAACAAAGAAAATAGGAAATGGTTCAAAAATATATCATAATCCAATCATACCAAAAAAGCATAAAGTCAAACTGTCAAACATTAGTCAGTCAGAGGAATCTGAAACATGATATAACGTCTCAATGAAGCCTTAGGCCAAGTTTCATAATGAAATATCCAAAAATAGAAAATAAAAAATAAAAAAGACGGGATCGCAGCATCTAGATGCATCCAAATAAGTTCTAGTGAAAATAGATTTTAAATTTTGGCTAGTTTCATCAAATTTATAACAGAAAGTCACGTTTCAATATTTCCAAAATCTTTACAGTAATCATCACTAAATATACAAATATAAATTTCACTTTTGTTAACCAGACTACTTTAGTGCTTTAAATACCGGTAAAGTTGTCCAGAAAGCCAAGTTGGAAGAAACATGTCTAGGCAATAGATCCAACCACAACCAGAACATTAACAGACAAATAAACAGACCAAATATCTCTAATGGCGAGCTCTAGTTTAAACGGCATATGCTTCTGTAAAACAATTACTGACAAATTATAAACTAAAAATCCAATATTTCCCTTTGCATATTAACTAATGTCATGGAGCTAAACATATCTATTATTAGCCATTGTCACACAGAACATATCTACTCTGTTAAGTCATGCGGAACCTAACTACTTCAAACTTTTCCAGCCAACAGCAGTACGGGCGAATTTTTGGGGCTAGCTTAGATGTTTTACTTATTAGTTTACCCTAATTCTCAGGCAGCCATGCAGCAAGGACTCTCAGGGTAGCCTTAATATAGACAAAAACAGAGAGACTAAGAGAGGCATTTTGAATTGAGTGTACTTTGTATTTCTTCCTCGGCAAATGGACATAGCTCCCACCTTGACGGTGAATCACTATAAAAACATGTGTGCGCTCTGTTTATTTTCGTTCGTTTTGTTTTCTCTTTGCCCTCAAATAGTTGGAGTTAGGACTCCTATTGCCTAACATACTATGGAAGAATTAAGTTATAACTTATACGTTAGTGCAAAATACATGAAGTTCAAGCTACATACAAAAATCAGTTAATCTCCTCTTGGGAAGGTGAAGAAACTCAGCATACTCCTGATCTCCATCCTCAGTCTTGTGAAGCTGCAACACCAAGGGCCGCCTCGTCACAATCCCTGCAATTATCCAAAACCAAATTCCATTTGTATATCAATACTAGTGAAACAGAAAAAAGATAAGAGTGTTCAAAATAGGGAACAAAAAGAAATTTTATCAACCTGATCCTCTGGGAAGAAAGTCACGCCCAACAATGCTCTCCAACACCGAAGACTTTCCCGAACTCTATAATCAAATTCCAACAAAACCCCCCAAAAAAAAAAAAAATGATCAATACCATTCTTTAATAAAAATTCATAATTACTAAAGGAGGAATTAGAAGGAAAAAAAAAAAAAAAAAAACATAATTCATAAGACATAATTTCCCTCTGATCAATAACCTCGGTTTCGTTTCTTTAATCAAGCTCGGGAGTTACCTGGCCTCCGACGACGGCGACAGAAGGAAGAGCTTCCCAGAGAGAAGAGAAAGCGTTGTCGCCACCGCCATAGTCGCCGAGCACCGTACACGCCCGCTGAATACGGTTGACCAATCCGATCAAGCTCTCCATGGTCGTCATGATCTTCTTTCTTCTTCTTCTTTGCACAAACAAAAAATCTTTTTCTTCTTCTTTGATGAAATTTCTCTTCTCTTGAGTTGTTCAGAAGAAAGAAGTTAAACCCTAGAAAGTAGAATTATAATTTCTGTTTTTTCTTAGAGAAGAAGAATGAAAATCTTCTGGAAGCTGCTTGGACTTGGGAACAGACGTCGAAGAAGACCAGAGAGAGAGAGAGAGAGAGGGGCAGAATTGGAATATTAAAAGAAGAAAATTTACTGGTTTCGTTTTGAGTTTCGGACAAGACGAGATTGAGGGGGGGCAGAGGCAAAGATATAGTGCGGCAGATCTGCACCGTTGGCAATGTCGTATTGTCACGCACGCGTTTGAAATTTTGAATTTTGAAAATGTTTGATTTGATGACGAGGAAAGTGTGGGTCCAACTTTTTCCATGCTTGTGGTTGATAAATATCACACATTATTATATGCAAGAATCCGACCTTGTTCAGCTTAGCCGCGGACCGCCTAGTTTATTTTTACGATTATGACTGTCTATCATGATTTATGTTATAACCCTATTTCTAGAGGCAAAACTGCACTTAAACATTTTATGTGTCTTTTATTAAATTATTATAGAGACACTCATTTCTCTGGCTAATTTTTATATCAACTGTTAGGATTAAAATCTATCTCAATTCTAAATCAACTAAATTGATTTTTTTTCTCTCGTTAAAAGACGTTTGGTTCATGGATTAGAATCATGTGATTAAAATTATTTTCGATTTACGTATATTTTTTATGAGGAAAAACACTGTAACGAACCATGAACCATGATTCAAATCATGATTTGAATCCTCCAACCAAACATAACTCTATTTTCTCAGTGGACAAATGGGAAAAAATTCCCTTTTTCTTGATGCTACCAGTATTTATAGATTTCTCTTGAATTCATCTTCTTTTCGTCAAATTAGCTTTTGAATTTCCCAGTTCTGCACTTTATTCTTTGCCACATCACCCCTTTTCATGTTATGAAACTGCGGGCTTATTTGGTAATATTTTCAAGACAATTTTGTTTTCAGTATAAAAGTAAAAATGAGATTATTTTAAAAATTATTCTGAGATTGATTCTAAAATTACGTTTAGTTAGTATTTTAAGATATTATTTTGAGTATAGTAAAAAAGTAAAATCGTGTTTAGTTATATTTATGAAATTTTGTTTCGAGTACATGTAATTAATAATGTTAAATTAATATATTAAGTAATTAATAATTGATAATCACTTTTAGCAAATAAAAATTAATATATTAATAATACAGTAATAATGAATATATTATAATTAATTAGTACATTGGTAATTAAACTATATATATGACGAATTAGTTTGCTAAATAATTAAAAAATAGTAATTAATAATCAATTATAAGTAATTACTATGTTAGTGACGTACTTATATTTATTAGTTTAAAAGTAATTAATAAGTGAATTAAAAAAATAATTAGTATATAAATAATATATTAATATTCTATTTACTATTTAAATAATTAAATTTTAGTTGCATAATTAAATAATTACTTAACCAATTACTAACATTTATTTAATAATCTATTATTTGATACATTGCATGATCAATTTTTGATAATTATTCTTTAAATAATTATGTATTGCTAATTATCAATTATTAATTATTATTGATTAGTATATTACAATTTATTATATAATTTAATATTGATTATTAATTGCTTAATTATTATTATTATATTTATCAACTACTTAGTAATTAATAGATTGTAATTAATATATATGATTGATATATTAATTATTAGTTATTTATTTAATAACCTATTATTAATTATTCTATTATTAATATATTATATAATCAATTTTTAGCAATTAATCTTTAACGAAATAATTAACTTATATTTATTATTTCTCATTTCTCATTTTTATTAATAAAATTACAAATTTAATAATAATAATTTAATTTCAATTAATATAATTAAGTAATTACTATCTATTTATTAGTTATAGTCATATATATTTATTAATTATTAATTAAATAATTTAGTGTAACATTATTGATAAGTACTAGAAAATGAAAACGAAAAAAAAATAATAACTTCTAGTCGTTTTCTAACTTCCTTCACAAAAATTATTTTTATTTTCATTTTTATTTTCAAAATATTTACTCAATAAACGCGATTTACAGACTATTTTTATTTTTATACCTCAAAAGACGTGTGAAAAAGTTTTTAAAAACAACTAAAAAACAGTTCCAAACACATGCATCACTTTATTTGCTTTGTTTTCCGCTATGAAGTTAAGTTCCTGTGAGGCTTTTAATATACCCAAACGTTGTCGTTTTTCTATCCTTTAAAACGACTTCATTTTATGACTTCATATTTGTCCCCACATCAACGCGTTTTTATACTAACTTTTAGGTTTCATTCAGTAGAAAAAATGGTAATTGTAATTTATTTTGTTTTCAAAAACAAAAAGTTGAAAACATGTTTGGTAGCAACAATACAGTTACATTTAAGGAAAAAAACAAAAAAAAAAAAAACAAAAATATTACTCGGTTCAACATTGCGATCAAAACTGGAAAAAGGATGGACACCTAGAGTAGATTGATGGGTTGGGATCGGTGCTGAGATTGGACCAATGAGCAAGAGTCAGTGTCGGGACCATACCTACAAGTCCAATGTCGGGATCGGATGGACTGCTCAAGGTCGAGATCTCTCATCACCTTCTCTTCCTAACTCAGGCCTCGTTTATTTCACCGATTCGAGTTTTCAGTTTTAAATTTTTACAGTAAAAAACTCTCAGAAAATGTCAGATCTAATTTTTTCTACTACAGTGAAAAATTCTTAGAAAATGTCACATTTCAACTCAAATTAAAAACTTGAATCCGCGAAGTGAACGAGATCTCAATATATAGGCCTCGTGATAAAGTTTAATGATAATGTTTAGAAAATAAAAATAATCATTAAGAATTCGTGTAGAGTACAAGTACGGCTTCTTCCATATCTATCACCAAAACAAAGTAACATATTTTCCTAAAAAAAAAAAAACTAACATAAACTAATATTTTTATCAATTTGCTCATTACGTACATTGAGCAATTTCATCATGGATATGACGCATTTCATGTAATTGGTCACATTGAATTCTACAACTTCAAATCACTTTTTTTTATTTTTTACAAACAAACAACCAAAACCTTAGGTTCAAACCACTTGAACCCTCGTACGAATCCAAGGTGATTTGAACTTAATGTGACATTTAAACCATCAAAATCAAAGGGCCCGTATTCTTGATTCTAACATTTAAAATTTAAATTTTTTATGAGAAGAAAACACAGAATAAAAACTATGAGTTAAAGCATAAAACAAACGGGCCCAAAAGGGTTTCTAAACCGACCCTCTCCCTAAGTTCTCATAGTTTGAACCCAAGGTTTCAACCACACTTTCTAAACCTTCCAACCAAATGAGGTTCAAACCACATTAATTTGAACCCTCCAACCAAATGAGGCAAAAACGTATGATTCCTTTCTCAGCTATTTAGTTCTGTCATGCGCTAGAAATGGTATAAATCTTACAATGTTTAAGAAAGGGAACTCCCTCACTAGATGGGTATTTTCTAAATTCTACTCATAATTTGTGTTTGGGTCTTTTCTACTAAAGAGCTATTTAGAAGCTATTCTCAAACCTAAATGATGATTTTGTTACAGTGTTTTTTATCTCACAAAGTTCCCGCCAATGAACCTAAATCATAATTTGAGTATACCTTCTAAACTCCTAACTTTCTTTCTAACCATTTTGCTCGGTGGGAGCTTTTGAACAATACAATTGAAGTTCAGCCAAAAAAGAGAGAGAGAGAGACTTAAGAATACAGCTGTTTAACTTTTTATAAAGAGAATAATATTATGAGAAAATATGGTAGTTGCAGGCAGAACATAGCGGTAATCTACATCTGGTACCACCACGAGGTGTAGAGTTCAAATCCTTCCTCAAGTTTAAAAAAATATACATATAAAAAAAAATAAGACCTATGAAGACAACGTACGTGATTAATATGCATGCTCGAAATTAAGGAGCAAAAAGCAAAGAAACAATTATTTAAAACGATTAAATTGATGCATAACTTCTTACAGACAACAATGCTCTTATTCATTTTCTTCACGTAATCAGTTGTTGGGTGGGTCAATCCTGCTTATAAACCAGCGTTGGGTATTCTGGACTCCACATATTGTTCTTCACGTATTCTACAATTTCCTCCTGAAATCAGACAGTATGATGTCAAACATGGACAATAACTGAGCCAAAATCCAGTTATAGTTAAAGAATCATCAAATATCAATAACAAAGCGCTCAAAATCCGCAGCTCTTTCATGTTTACGACATAATCATCCATCCAGTATCCAGCAGGTCCCTTGATGTTTTCAAATTGTCAGGGTACAAAAAGTATCATATGGGAGTAGCACATCTTTCTGAATCGTAAAAAGGTTTCATGAGATTTCATCATATTTGTGTCCTTTTTTCTTTATCCTGATATGATTAATGATTATAATGTGATCTCATGGTACATAAATACGCTCAACCATTGGAGTGCTTGTTACTAACATTAACGAATTTAGCTATCTAGTCTTTGCTTTATAGTGTCATCTCTTCTACTTGATCTTCGACCCTGATTTATCTTTTGTCATCTGTTATAGATTTTCTTCTAGTCCCTAAACAGTGATCTGGAGTTTCAGGACTTCCAACCTGGAGCTTCTATTAGGTGGGGATATTTCTCTTAGGTTCAAAAACACTGTTTCTTATCATGTGAATGACATGCATGAACTTGGACCTTTTTTTAAAAATAAAAAAAAATTGAATGAACTTGGATTATTATGAAAAGGGTAGGTATACAATCCTAAACACGTGACTGTATTTAATTAACTAGGTTTTGTAGATAGACACAATCAACAAACCTCGTTGAGTTTCTGAAGCTCTCGAGCATCCATTTCACGATATCCTTCTGCTAGATCCTCTTCTATAGCTTCCTTTATAACAGCTGCAGCCACTTGCTTTGTAATATCTCTTATGCTGCAAAATTTTAAAGACGTTAATGAGCATTTCAACACTTCTCGACTCTAACTCTGTCCAAACTAGGTCACAATAAACAATAAAGAAAGAAGAAAAGCCTAAGGTTACCAACCTTGATATGGATGGGTATATAATCCCTTTTGCGACATCCTCTTCTGTCATATATGCAGCTAGGCTGTGATTCAAATTACGTGTTAGAAAAATCTAAGGCATATTGTTCCATTTGGAATAACAGTACTGAAGTAACTGAAATAATCAGCTAGTACATTAGATTAATGAATCCTAGATATATGCTTTGAGTTTGCAGAAATTCAACGTTAGTCCACAGTTCAGAAAAGTAACGCAAAACATTTTCTTCTAATTCATTCTCAAAGATTTTTTTTTTCAGGGATTCTATTTTTTTGTTAACACATCTCGACTCATTATTCATTTTACTTGCAAAATATTTTTTATAAAGAAAAAGAAAAAGGAAAAAAAACACAGTCACATTTGATTTGTTGTAGACAATTACTGATTGTGTGGGACGTGTGGTATGCTCAAGTTGCAGCGCTAAAACGTCCGTTCAGGACAACCTAATTCAAAGGATATATGAGAAATACCACTCTGCTGCCGCTTGTAGCATGCCATCAGATATGATCCTAGAGCCAGATAAAAGAGTGCCAAGTCCAATTCTGCATGCAACAATAGGTGCGTATCTGGTAAAACTTCCTATGTTTTTCGTTTTAAGAGGTCTAAAAGAATAAGACTTACCCCGGAAAGAGATACATGTTGTTACCCTGGTTGCAGTGGCCAATATGACCATTTCCTAAAATGAAAGTGGAAGTTGTCAATTTGTCGACAACAAAACAAAACAAAACAAAAAAGGATATACGCACGCATTAATTCTGGCCTTACACAAACCCC